ATTATAAATTTATAATTTTATATGATATTATAATTATAATATTATTATAAAAATAATATTCACCTTTCTTTTTTTTTCTTCTGCTATTGGATAGCTTTATTCAATTAACCGGTTATTGTAAGTGATATTTATTTTCGAAAAATTGAAAATGCTTTTATTAAATTTTCTTGGCTAATGAGGGTGTTGTGGAGATTTCATTAAGGCAATCAAATTTAAAAAAATAAATAAATGAGGGAATCGTTTTAGATTTTTGCGGTGTTTATGGTTTCCCTAAAATGAGAGATAATGTGACAAGTGATGTTAAGACCCAAACCTTCGCCAGCGGCTTCTTTAGTTGAAATGGCAACAAATTCCACGTTTTTGGGAGGAAAAGGAAAAAAGTTCTAAAAAAGGGGGGTAAACCGTAAAACACGTGTTTAGACAATTAGATTGGCAATGGAAATAGACCGACACACGATCTCTCCTCCCACTTTTCTCTCGTAATCTCGTCTGAAAGCAAAAATGCTATAATTGTGTAAGTTACAAATTTATAGTTTCACAAGGTATTAAATAAATATATATAATATTATAAATAAATTTTGAATAAAAAATTAATTATATAATAATATATTATATTATAAAATTATAATATCACGTGTTATTATAATTACAATATTTTTATATTTATAAAAATAACACTTATTAGTCTCAATTTAAAAAAAAATTAAAGTCTTAATTTTAAATAATATTATTTCATTTAATTAAAAGTTAATTTAAAATTAAGATAATAATTGGCTCTACCCTAAGGTTTCTCATCTCTCGTGCACTGCTTCTAAGGTTGAGAGTAATGACGATGAGTTTTCTACCTTAGGGTTTCTCTTCGGCAAAAGAGTTCCTTCATCCCTTCTTTCTTCTTATCCCTCCCTTCCTCCTCTTGATCTCCTCCTTCATCTTGTTACTGTTTTGCTTTGGAAACTCCAACCGAAGGGACCACAAAGCAACGGCATATTTAGGTTTTCTAGAGTTTACATCTGTTGATTTTCAAAGGTTACGATTGGAATTAATCTTGTCGGTGAAGTGGGTTTCTCTTATTTAATGGGTAAGAATCTTGCTTTGGTGATCTCCTCGAATGGGATTTTGGCGGGGGTCGAATTCAATGAAACTAGTTCACACCAGTTCCTGATCAACTAGCCGATTGCAGAAGGACATGAATGCTATTGGTAAAGCCGGCTATGGTCTATGTGGGAAGCTTGCTATTCAAGCCGGCAAATGGGCTCTAGTTCCCTCTCTAGTTCCCTTATTGAGTTTCGACAGCAAGGGTTTGAAGATGATCGGCAACAATGGAAACATGATTGGGTGTATATAGAGGCAACTGGGGGACCTTCTGTTTGTCTAAAGAAGGCCCCTCTTGTTTGTTCTTAGGACAATAACTTGCAGGTTAAGGACTGTTTGTTGCTAGAATCTCTTGCTTTCCCTAGGAAGTTGGTTAAATAGATGAGGATTTCCAGTAGTTCTTAATGCTTGTAGTGACTCTTCTTTCTACATTAATAGCCCTATTTAGCTCATACAGCGATTGTAATTTCAATATCTAGTTGCAGATGACTCTTTTTACTTAATTATCTACATCCGTTATGGGTATAGTTTAAATCTGTTATTAGTGCTATAGGTTAAACTTTTGATTTTGTCTTTAAGTTATTTTGCTTTTGGCTATAATGCCATGAAATGGAAATTTTACTTTAATTTTTTATTACTTAATATATTTCTCTATTTCCCATAAAAAAATTCAATTTAAAATTTAAAATTTTCATTTATTAAATGTGAAATATGCATTTGAAAATTGAAAACCTAGTTTAAAATTTAAAATTTTACCTTATTAAATATTGATATTTGAAATTAAAAACCAATTAATTTCAAGTATCAATATTTAATAAGGTAATTTTTTAAATTTTGAATTAAATGTTAATTAATTAGAATAATATTATTTAAGGGTAGGACTACAATTTTTTTTAGTCGAGACTAATATATATGATTCTCATTATTTGTTAATGTTATAATTTGAATTGTTAAGAAAAAAAAGTTTTGTCTAACATATATATTTAAAGAACAAATTAAAGATACATTAAATGCATCTTTTTCCTATTAATTTATATAGAAAAATAAAAAAATAACTTTATTAATTTTAAATATAAATGATACATGTATGATTTTAATTGGGTAGTTACTAAAACTAAATTGAATTTTTTGTTATTTTAATAATAATTAATGGAAAAAAATTTAATTAATATACTTTGAACAAAAAAAAAAATCTTTACTTCTTTTTCCTTCATTTCTCACAAATTATCCTCTAAGACAAGATCCAACTTTGGCATTGACTAACATTAGTTTGCTTGTCTAAACCTCACATTCCACAAACAATTGGAATTGGGGATAGAACCCTATTTATGCGAGTGGACCACCCTATGGTTAACCCACTTGTTAATGCCTAAATTTGTACTCTAGTTTGTTGATTTGTCCTATAACTTATTTTTAATTGCATTCTTTCGTCTTGAAAATGACGATTTTAATTTAGAGTTACGATAGGATCATAAGGAGAGATAAATTAAAAATAGTCGCTCATAAGATAAAATTATTTTTATGAGTAGTCAAAGTACAATTCATATGAGGTTTTCACCAAAAAATATTCATATGATGTATGTAAAAGATAGATACATATAATTATAATATCTTGTGATATTATATGTTTATAATATGTTATATTATCACGTAATTAATTTTTTTCACTTAAAAGTTAATCTATAATATTTTATTTATCACTTTTATAATGAAATGTCACACTTATTAAATGACATATTATGATTTTAACTTTATAATTTTACATAATATTATAACTATAACATTACCACACAAATTAACTCAAAACAACCTCAGGGGTTGTGTGGTATGGTGGTTAATAGTTTCATCCTAATTTCTATCTAATAGTATTTGGTAAAGAATTTGGTGTTTGGTAAAGTTTTGTGTTTAACAATTTGATAGTAATAGTTAATGATTAGAATCTAATTTGTTAGTATACTGAAGACGCTCCCTAAAAGACCTTTATGCCCTGACACCAAAATTAGTGTCATTCCATGGACCTTCACATTTGAGGTATATTCTTTACATCTTTATTTTTTATTAGTTGCCTAACTAAACCCTGCTAAAATACCTACCCTAAGTACTAACTTGAGTGTCATAATATCTACTCAACCCTGTGCAATTACATGCCTCCTTTGCCAATAATTTAGTATGAAGTGAGTTTAAGGAAATAGGTGTGTTAGACATGAAAGGAGGAGGGAGATGACGGAGGAAGAAGGAGAAATAGGGAAGAGGGAGAAACGAGATCAGAATGTTGGAGGAAGATAACTGTGGGCCATTTAAGTAATTTCAAAATTGTTATATAATAACTATTTGAATTTGAATGCCATGTCATTTGAAAATAGTTGCCACATGGATTAAAAAATGCCATATTACCCCCTCCTAATATTTAATAGCCAAATTTAATCCCTAAATTTTTAATTTTAAACAAATTTTATCACTCAATTTTTTTTTATATTTTTATCTCTTAACTTTAAAAAAATAAACATTTTTTGTCTTTTCATCTATTAAGTGCAACATGACATGTTTTTACATTTAAGAAATTATTATTTTATAATTCAAAAAATTAGGTGAAAATTAACTTGAATAAAAATTTTTAAAAATTGATGATGTGACCATTTTAATCTTATGTGGAATTTTGATCGAAATGAAAAAAAAAACTATTTATAAAATCAGAATTACCAATTTACCCTTAAAGTCATCCTTTTTTTTAACATAACCCCTTCTTCTTCGTTGTCCTCCGCATCTTTCTTCAACAATTCAACACCATCTTCTCATCTTTTCTTCCCTCTCCCTCTTTTCTTGTTGAACCCAGGTCACAAATGAACCAAGTTCTTAGTGGCGAAGAGAGAGGAATGGTGGCTAGAAAGGGGAAGAAAGGAATTTGATGATGAAGAGGGATGGGTGGTGGGGAGAACAACAGAGAGAGAAAGGGCAAAGGAATGTGAAAAGTTAATACAAATTAAGGTTATTTTAATAATTTTAAATTTAAAGAATTGAAAAGAATTACATGACAGTTAAATTTGACTTAGTTCGCACAAGTTAATTAATTCTTAATTATATGATTTGTCATTAACATATCATTAAAAAATATTAAAAAAAAAAAGGAAAAATGTCATGTGGACTAAGTTAGTGGGCTAACTAATGGAGAAACTAAAATTATGTAATTTTAGAATTGACGAACTAAAAAAAGTGTTTAAAATAGTTGAAGGACAACATTGTGTTAAATCCTAATGTTAAAAAATTAAAATTAACATTTAACTCTTTTAATAATAAAAAAAATTGAATTGTTTGATGAAAAACTTGGTCATGTCAATACTTAACTCACAAAAGGATGAAATTAATATTAAAATTTGAAGTTTAAAGATATTTTTGATATATTATTTTTAAATTTAAAAACAAATATGATACAAATTTAAAAGTTAAAGGATCAAATTGTATTTTAACTTAATAAATGTGAGCTAT